TGTAACCACCACCACAATCAAAATAATAGAGCATTTTCATCTTTCTAAAAAGTTCTCTGGTGCCCATTTGTAGTTAGTTTTTTCCTTTCCTTTCACCATCCTCAGGCAAGAATTGATCTTTTACTGTCACTACAAATTAGTTTTCTTTTCTAGAAATTTGTTCTTGCTATCTGGCTTCTTTTCCTCAGCATAATGTTTTAGAGATTTCATCCCTCTTATATGAATCAGTGGTTGATTTCTTTTTATTGCTGAGCATTATTCTGTTGTATAGCTATACCATATTTACTTAACCTTTTTCCTGCTGATGGATATTGAGATTGTTTCTAGTATCTTACTATTATATCCTTTTTGGATAAATACCTAAAAGTAGAATTGGTAGGGCCAGTAATGATGTATACTTACCTTTATTAGGAACTGTCAAACTGACCTCCAAAGTGGTTACATCATTTTACATGTCCACCAGCAATGTATGAGAGTACTAGTTTAGTTCATCCTCATTAACAATTGGCATTGCCTATCTTTTAAATTTACATTTCTCTTTTGACTAATGATGTTGAGGTTTTTTCATGTATTAGTAATTTGTATATATTTTATGAAGTATCTTTGCTTTTCCCATTTTTCAAATTGGGTTGATTTCTTTTTATTAATGATTTGTAAGAGTTCATTGTATATTCTGGATCTGAGTTCTTTATCACATAAATTTGTTGCAGATGTTTTATTCTACTCTATGGCTTGTCTTTTCCTGTTTTGTTGTTTTTTAAATATTGTGTTTTATTTTTTTATTAGATTTGTGAGCAGACTTGTTCCAAAAAACCTGCTAGTTAAAATAAAATGAATTGTTATATAAATTAAAACCTAGTAATATCAACATATTTTAACTTAAATGAAACATCTTTTAGAATGGAATATTCATTGTAAGGAGGAGCAGTTTTAGACCATTAAAGTAGCTCTAAAATTCACATAACAAACAAAGAACTTTTAATATTTTAAAGTGAAAACTATATTAAAACACATTTTGATAATTGACCAAACAGGCTTGTTACATTTTTAGTTGGGAAAATTCACATTGTTTTTACTTCTTCTATCTTCTTAAGTCAGTTAATAATATTTCTGTTGTTAAATGCAATTTATATTAGCATTTTATATGCTTCTATAGGAAGTTGACAAGATGACTTTGCATATGTGTAACAATATTTTTATTTGGAAGAATTAAAATTATGTGAATGCTTAAATGTAATAGTTTTGAGGAATTAAATGAACAATTTTAGTCTCCACTGCATTGGTCACAGGCTAAAGGCATGCTTTCTGAATCAGGCTCACTATAGCTAAATGCTTGCACCATAAATAGGACAATCACATGTCCTTCTAGCCATAAGCTCTTTTGCAGATGACATTTTGAATATTGTGAGCCTACCTTAGTTTTAACAATCTGTTTTTGTATCAGCTGCTATATTTTCTCCATCCTTCTCAAATCAGAAGGAGATAAATGAATTTGAGATGCATCAGTAAAACAATTGTATACAGCCAGGTTATTTGAGATTTGAAATCTGATAATGCCCTAATTAGTATAAGGAGATTTTGAATGCCCACAGTAGTCTTGAATTTGTGTACTCGATGTTACTCAGATTTTAATTTCCTTGTGTTTCTTTCAAACTTGACTTTGTATATTGTTTATATATTTTGGGAATTTGACTTTAACATTTGTGCTACTTTAATTAAAAGGTACATATAGTGTGCTGTCACTATACTGATTTTTACAAGATGAATTTCTAATTATATTACATATTAGCAGTCACATTTTATTATTCACTTTAGTAACTAAGAACTTTGAAAGCATTTTGAAGCATCCAGAATAAAGAGTCCTCCACCACTTCAAGGACATAAGGACAGTCTTAAAAGCCATTGTTGTTACCTTCGCCTCATGCATGTGCTATTATTCTGGTATTAGAAGATTCCTTTTTTTTTTTTAATTTAGATATTAATGCTTCAGGTCTTTGGCTGTAACTCTAAAAGAGCATTATCAGGGATTTGATATGTAGAAATCATCTATCTAGTTCAACTCCTTCACTTCAGAGATCTGGGAACTGAGGCCCAGTTTTTACAGGTGCCCTGGCTCAGTGCTTCTCAAACTATCTGTGGTAGAGAATCATTCTTTTTTCCTATCCCCAATGCATGACAGGCCATTGATTTTGTAAACTATAATAAAAATGAAGTACTAGAAAAATAACTTTAAAATGACATGTATAGTTCTAAATGCTTCCTCTTAATTTCAGTGTTTATCTTAGTGTAGGTAGATTACAGAGTTCTGTAACTAAGTAGTCCATAGACTTCACTTTGTACTAGTACAGTGGTCAGCAAACTCATTAGTCAACAGAGCCAAATATCAACAGTACAATGATTGAAATTTCTTTTGAGAGCCAGATTTTTTAAACTTAAACTTCTTCTAATGCCACTTCTTCAAAATAGACTCACCCAGGACGTGGTATTTTGTGGAAGAGCCACACTCAAGGGGCCAAAGTGGCTCGCAAGCCGCAGTTTGCCAACTAGTTTATCACTGCCTTAGGTTGGGGTTGGGAAAGCATGGTCCATGGGCTTCATCCAACTTGTTTTTTGTATGTCCTGCAAGTTAAGAATTATTTTTACATTTTGAAGTGATTTTTGAAAATTTATACAAAATTCATATTTCAGTGTGTTTAAATAAAATTTTAATGAAACACAGTCACGCATTCTTTTAACTATTGTCTGTGGCTGCTTTTCCCCTGTAATATTGGGGTTGAGGCAGGGATGAGTAGTTGAGAATGAGACCAAATGGTCTATTGAGCCTAAATATTCCTGTCTGGCCCTTTACAGAAAAAGTTAAAATCTGAAGATCTGGCTTTAGAACAAAATAGTAGTTAGTGATAGAGTTGAACATACAAACAGGGTCTACATTTTTAAGAATGTGTTTTAAATATTATTATTAGCTGATAAATATTATGCCACTTTTGTTCTTATTTAAATCTCTCAATAATCCCTTTTTATAAAAGTTAGGTAAGTTTAGATCTCTCTGATCTAGTTTTGGATACCTTTTTGGCTCCTAAAACTCTTAACTCTATTAGTGTGTTATTATTTTTTAATTTATATCTGGTGAATTAAAAATGGTTAAGTATTTTCTAACGTGGATTTTGTTATCAGCATCTGGTTCAGAATACTCAGCTTCTTTTTCCCTGTTGCACATTATTCTATAGTGGATGTTTCTGTGTTCAGGTCCAATGAGAGAGTTTAGGTATGACTTAGAAAAACATTATTTCTAGTAAAAAGATTGCTCCTTTAAATATCTATCACCTAAAGAAAAGCAATACTGCAACTAAACTTTAGTGGCAGGTTTCTATTGTAAAATAGTAAAGATATAATAGGTGAGGTCCTGGTTACAAGAAAAACGATTGAAATTTTAAGTGACTTTTGGAGGAACAACAGACTTCCCGTGTTTTGCCTCTACCACTCATTAAGCTGCAAAACAACAGTTCCCATCATAGTGTTGTCAAGCCAATATGTCAATTAACATGTTGCTTTATTTCTTTTTTTAATATATTTTTATTGATTTCTGAGAGGGAGGGAGAGAGATAGATAGATAGAAACATCAGTGATGAGAGAGAATCATTTATCGACTGCCTCTTGCATGTCCCCTACTGGGGATCGAGCCTGCAAGCCAGGCATGTGCCATTGACCAGAATTGTACCCAGGACCTTTCAATCCGCAGGCCAACGCTCTATCCACTGAGGCAAACCAGCTATTTCTTGATGTATGCAGTAAAAAACTGCTTTTCATGGTAGATGTTAATTCTTTGTTTTCCTACCTTTGTATGTGATCACTCAACAATATATTGCTATAAAGATATAGCGATAGCTGTCAGCTTTACATTTGATACACGAGCCGCTTCATGATAAGGACCCTTTAAAAGCTGAATCTTGATTTTGTTTTGTTTTTTTCTAAAATAAAATAAAAAATTATTGCTGAGATAGCTTACTCATTATGATGAAAGTAACTACAGTTTGATATTGTGTTACTTGCTATTTTATTCTACTTTTAAGTCAATTTGTAAACAATAATTATGTTCTTGCTTAATGAAAAATAACGTAAATGAGAATAAAATAATTAATATATTTATTAGTTTAACCATTGGTTGGGTCTTCTCCCCGGCCCCACATACCAGATGTACAGGTAGTTAAGAAATGTTTGAGGTTAACACATTTTTATATCTGGTTTTTACTTAAACATTGATTGTCTTTTGGGAGCCCCCACTATCTAAGCAATTTCTATAGCTACTTTCTAACCAGTACAGCATGTCCCACATTTTATTCCTTAGCATATATTATAGTGATTGAGTTTCTGTTTCTAAAAAATTTTGGTAGAAAGAATTAATGTGGAAAGCAGTTTGTTTTTTTGCAGCTTGACTGAAGGGGACCAGAGTTGCATGCATTACTATGTCTGTGAAACTTCTTGGAAGCAAGCCAGTATGTTAGGGTGAGCGATTCATATGTAAGCGGTGAGCCACTAAAAGGCTTGCACAGTATTACAACTCTTCTGAGAAGAGGAAGTGTTAGGAAATTCAGCAGTAAAGCAGCAGCAGCAACAGCAACAAGCAGCCACAGTGAAAGTAAAGATAGGGCAGGTTCACTGTTAGCGTATTGCACAGTGTGAGGCAGTGAGCACACAGCTCCCCATCCTGCTGCCAGAAGGAGGCAAACCCAAACTGTCTGTTGCAAGATTTTTCTGGTTTCATGTTTATGATGTTAAGTCATGTGATAATACTGTACCATAAGTTGCCAACTTTGCTTTACTGTAGAGAGGATCCTTTGCTGCAGTGCTTTTTCCCCCATTCTTTTTCTTTTTTTTTCTCTTAAAAAAGAAAAAAAATTGTGCAATGTATGTGTATGCCCACACCATGCCGAGACGACACTTACCGGTAAATAATCTTTGTATCCCTGAGGTAAGATACTGTTTCTGCTTTCCCTGCACAGTGCTGCTGCAGCACGGAGCAGATCCAAACATTCGGAACACTGATGGGAAATCAGCCCTGGACCTGGCAGATCCTTCAGCAAAAGCTGTTCTTACAGGTAAGAAAACCGAGAGCTACCGAATTAGTTCATCTATGTTATTGGCTTGATTTTAGAAAGTCTTTATGCACTGAATTTTATTTTGTTTCTACTGATTAAGCTCAACAAAAATATGTGCCATTATCTCTACTTCATTATTGATTTGGTATGTTAACAGTCTCATTAATTGCTATGCCTGCTCTTACAAGCATTAAGCAATAGGATTGTTTATTCTAGTTAGAATTTCTGAGAATTATGGCATTGAATGGTAACATATCATTCACTAATGTTGTAGTCATTTTTTATTGTTTAGATCGTAATTTTCTTGTAACCTCATCTTCTAGTTGACTCTTTTGAAGTCCTTTACTATGGAGCAAACAAGGGCATTTGTATTATTTTATAAAGTAGTTTTGATTGGAAAGACAACCTGCTACCGTATTTACTTAGATCAATAGTTAAATAAAATATGCTGCTTTTTCCTTGCCACTCTGCTTATATTTTTGTTGTATCTTCTCACTTTATCATGTTACCTAACTACTTTTTTAACTTGTCCATTTTACTTCAGATAATGAAAATTTTTGGCTTCACTATTGATTTAATTAAGACAAATGTCAAGAAGCAGCAAAGAGGAAAGGATATCTCATAATTAGTATAGAAAATAATGCTCTAAGTTATATGGCATTGAGCAACTGTTTTCATTGATCTTCATTTCTCAAAATACTGCATTGGATCTATTTTTGTTTTTATTCTTAACATCTGAGTTTTGCTGCCTTTGCCTTCTTTTACTTAACTGACCTTTGTAATTTGGAGCCTCTTTGTCACTGCATTGCTAAGAGTATTGTTGTAAGTGCTTGTGTGAAAGTAAATGAGTTTTTGCTTCCTTTACATTTGCCCATATTTGAAGAAAATAAATCGTTTGTTCACTTTTAAGTTTGGTGTCACGCTGTGCATTTTTAACAAAGATTCTGAGGTGAATGGAAAACATTTATATACAGAAAGCTTTTAAAATATGCGGAATTCTGGTTAATTATTCTGTATAGAAGATTACTTCCCACTGTGCTAAAATTAATATAATCTCTGCTAAATCAGAGTAATATGATTTTTCTCAATTAAAAGGTTAGTTGATTGGGATACTGAATCAAGATAACATACACTAGAGAAATAAAGCTATTTTAAACCAGCGTAGATAAGAAATTAAGTATAATTATAAAATTTTAAATAATGAAATTAAAATATATAGCCTCAGGCTTGCTTAGGCTCTGCAGCCTTTCACTGTCTTCTTTTAACAATGCCCTGGCAACAATCGCAGCTTTGGATTGGTCTCTGACGGAGGGAGAAATATGGTTCAGAGTAATGGAGGTAGATTATAAATGCTGACCATGGCTGTCTCTATATCTGAGTGTCCTCCTTATGACCTTTTTTCTCTTCAGCCCTCAACACCTGTCTTGTCCATTTGTTTGAATCATTTAATGCAATACTGCTTTTAGATCCACTTACATTTTTCTAAGAAAAGGTTTTAAATATAAGTTAATTAACAAGAAGAAGCTACCTCCTAATTTGGAATGAATTTTAGGTGAGATCATCTTGGCTGTTTAAGTTTGGGAAAGAGCTGTGACATAATACGTCACGGAGACTAAAGATTCCTGGAGAACAGATACTGTATCTATTTGTTAGACTTGATTGGAAAAGCATCTATTATTGCATCTTGTTTAGATTAGGATGATATTCATTCTTCTTGGTCATTATACTGTTTATTAATTATTCTTTTCAAGAATATTTACTTTTTTGGAAATGACATACAACTTTTCAGTTATGATTTAAAAAACATTCTAGAACATTCTGGTAATAGTAATTTGTGGAAAATATAAGCTAATGATATTTACACATTCATGTTATATAATATAATGAAATAACACAAGTGAAATGTATTTCCATATGTATTTTTGCCCATGCAGGTTCTTTTCTAAGCAATTCTTTGGAATTATAGTGGAAGTACTATTATATTTCTGAAGCTAAATTGAAAAGATTAAGCATTGATAAAAGGGAATCTTTTGAAAGGAATGACAGAGTTATTAGAGACTAGATGCTGTAAGTTTGTATGGTGTTGGCTGTAGGTTTGTCATATGGGGCTTTTATTATGTTGAGGTATTATCCATCTATTCCCACTTTGCTGAGAGTTGTTGTTGTTTTTTATCTAGAAAGGGTGTTGGATTTTGTCAAATGCTTTTTATGCATCAATTGATATGATTATGTGATTTTTGTCTCTTAATTTGTTTATGTAATGTATTACATTTATTGATTTGTGGATATTGTACCATCCTTGCATCCCTGGAATAAATCCCATTTGATCATGGTGTATGATCTTTCTAATGTATTACTGAATCCAGTTTGCTAGAATTTTGTTGAGTATTTTAGCATTTATGTTCATCAAGGATATTGACCTGTTCTCTTTTTTGTGGTGTCTTTATCTGGTTTTGGGAGTAGGGTAATTCTGGCTTCATAGAAAGAGCTTGAAAGTATACCTTCCTCTTGAATTTTTTTGAATATTCTGAGGAGGATAGGTTTTAGGTTTTCTTTGAATGCTTGGTAGAACTTCCGGATCAGAACTTTTGTTTACTGGAAGATTTATGATTGATGTTTTAATTTCTTTGGTAGTTATCAACCTATTCAGGTTTTTTTATTCTTCTTGGTTGAGTTTTAGGAGCTTGTATTTTTCTAAGAATATGTCCATTTCATCTAGGTTGTCCACTTTGTTGGAATAGAGTTGTTCATAGTATTTTTTCATAATTATTTGTATTTCTGTGGGATCAATATTACTTCACCTCTTTCATTTCTGGTTTTGTTTATTTGGTCTCTCTCTCTGTTTTTTGCTGAGCCTGGCTAGAGATTCATCAATCTTGTTTATCCTCTCAAAGAACCAGCTCTTGGTTTTGTTGATCCTTTGTATTTTTTATTTATTTATTTATTTATTTATTTATTTATCTATCTATCTCTGGCATTTATCTCCTCTCTGATCTTTATTGTTGCCTTTCTTTTGCTTATGCTGGGCTTTTCTTGTTGCTCTCTTTCTAACTCTTTGAGTTGTAGTGTTAGATAATTTATTACCATTGTTTCTTGTTTTTTGAGGAAGTCCTGTAAGAGCTATGAACTACTCTCTCAAGACTGCTTTTACTATGTCCCATAGTTTTTGGATTGTTGTGTTTTCATTGTCATTTGTTGCCATGATGCTTTTTATATCTTCTTTGATCTCTCTGGTAACCCAGTCATTGTTTAATAGCATACTATTTAGCCTCCAGATGTTTGATTTTTTTAAAATTGTTTTTATTGTAGTTGATTTCTAGTTTTATGTCATTGTGATCTCAGAAGATGCTTAATATGATTTCTATTTTCTTGAATTTGAAGAAACTTTGTGTCACAACATATGGTTTATTTTTGAAAATGACCCATGTGCACTTGAGAAGTATGTAAATTCTGTGGCTTTGGGGTGAAATGTTCTGAAGATGTCAATTAATTCCATCTGATCTAGTGAGTCATTTAGGATTAATGTTTCTTTGCTGATTTTTTGTTTAGAGGATTTGTCCAATGGTGATAGTGGAGTATTAAAGTCCCTACTATGACTGTATTGATGTTAATCTCTCCCTTGATATCCTACAGAAGTTGTTTTTTGGGTTTTCTTTTATTATTTTTTTTAATTTTTTAAAAATGTATTTGGGTGCTCCTGTATTGGGTGTGTGTATATGTTTACCAGAGTTTTCTATCTTCTTGTTGGATTGCTCCCTTTAGTATTATAAAGTGGCTTTCCTTATCTTATTATGTCCTTCACTTTGAAATCTAATTTGTCAGATATAGGTATTGCTACCCCAGCTTTTTTTTTCATTTCCATTCGCCTGAAATACCTTTTCCCAGCCCTTCATAAGTATGTGAGAGTCCTTTCTTCTGAGTTGGGTTTCCTGGAGACAGCAAGTATATGGGTCATGTTTTCTTATCCACTTGGCTACCCTATATCTTTTGAATGGGGCATTTAATCCATTTACATTTAAATTTATTATTAATTAGAGGCCCAGTGCACGAAATTGGTGCACTGGGTATGGGGGGACCAGAGAGACCTCATCCCAGCCTGCATCCTCTCCAATCTGGGACACCTTGGGGGATGTGTGACTGCCGGTTTAGACCTGATTCCACAATCCAGACATGGTCCCTCCTAACTTCCCTCCCTCCCCTGCAGGCAAAGTTGCCCCCAAATGCCCCCCCTTTCAGCCATCTTTGACCACATGGGAGCGGCCATCTTGTGCAAGGACGTGAGGGTCGATTTGCATATTACCTCAATATTATATAGGATAGGTACTTATTTATCATCATTTTTATTTTTTATACCTGTGTTTCTTCTTTACTTTCTATTTCTTCTTTTTACAACAGACCCTTTAGCATTTTCTGCATTGCTGCTTTGGTGGTGATAAACTCTCTTAGTCCTTTTTTGCCTGTGATGTTTCTGATTTCACCCTTAATTTTTATTGATAGCCTTGCTAAGTACAGTACTCTTTGATTCAGACAATTCCTTTGCATGAGTTTGTATATTTCATTCCATTCCCTTCTGCCTGATGTGTTTCTGTTGAGAAATCAATTCACTTGTCTGTTGGGGGATCCTTTGTAGATAAGCTTCTGTCTCTCTCTGGCCGCTTTTAAGATTCTTACTTTGTCGTTGGTGTTTGCCAATTTAATTATAATGTGCCTTGGCACAGGTCTTTTGGGGTTCATTTTGTTTGGGACTCTGTGAGCTTCTTGGACTTGTGTGAGTTTTTTCTTTCCTATATTAGAAAAGTTTTCTGTCATTATTTCTTTAAACTAGTTTTTTATTCCTTGCTCAGTTTCCTCTCCTTCTAAATACTGGGTACTCCTATTATGCGGATGTTGTTTTGTTTCATTGTGTCCCAAATCTCCTTTAGGCTCTCCTCTTTTTTTTTTTAAAGCTTCTCCCCCCCTAGATGCTGCTCTGCTTGAGTATTTTTTTTCTTTACCTTGTC